TGTGCTATTGCAATGGGCTCTGAATTCGGTGATCTTCGCGGCTCCGTGGCCTCCCCCCTCCTCGATTCTTCTGGTCCTCTTTCGTTTCCTCTGGGGGGGTGCCTGGAGCGGCCCCGGGGGGCCCGGGGAGGGCTCCGAGGGGGGGGTCCTGGGGGCGGCGGCGGCTAGATCTGAGGGTGGTCCCTGGGCCCCCCCAAACATTTTGGGGATGTGCAAATCATTATGCAAACGCTGCATGGGGGACTAGCTCACCGTCCCCCCCTTCCCCGGGGAGGGCCCGGATGCGCAAGTCACGGAGAAAACTCCAGATGCCCCTCCCCCCCCCCCCCCTTTCCTGGCAGAGCCGGCCCGGCGGCCCCCCGAGCTGAAGCTCTTGCTTAGGCTCAGAGCTGACGCTCTTGCTGAGGCCCCTTGTAGTTCGCGCGCCCGATCGGCGGACCGCGCCCCGAGCAAGCGCTTGCCCCGCCCGCGCGCGCGCCCAGGCGCTCGCGCGCACCTGCTCGCGCTCGCGCCCGTCCGCGCTCGCGCTTCGGGTGTTGCTAGAAGTGCCCCTGGCCCGCGGCGCCCCCGGGATCGCCGAGGTGGCCCAGGCGGCTTCCAGGTCGCCCCCCACGAGGCCCAGAGGGCCCCGGGGGTTCAATAATGGAGCGAAAATCGACGCGCGCTCGCGCGCTTGCGCCCCCCGCCGCCGCCGCGCGCGCTCGCGGAGACGCGCGCGATCGCGCGCTCGCGCGCGTGGCGCGCAACGCGCAGCGCGCGCGCGCACGCGCGCGCGCCCGCGCCCGCGCGCGCCCGCGCGATCGCGCAACCGGGCGCCCGGACGCACGCGCGCCCACGAATTCACATCTGTAGTTGCCCACGCGCACTTATTGCCCGCCCCCCGCCATCTCCGCCAGCGCCCCAGTGGGGAAGCGCCGCCTGTTGCGGGGCCAGCCCTTCAATTCCAGCCATTCCGCCCTCGCGGGGCGCTGGCGGAAATTGAGGGGCGGGCGGAGTTTTGTGAGGCGGGGGGGGGGGGGCGCGCGCGGCGTGCCCGCCGTTGCGCCCCCCGCTCGCCCAGGCCCGCCGTCCTGTGCTTTTTGCCAGATCTTGTGCGGTGTAGTGCCATTTAGTGTCGGATGTTTGCCCCATCTAGTGTTGTTAGTTTCAATGTATTCATTGCTTTCGCTTTGCGGGGTGCGCGTCCGTGGCGCGTGCAGTCCAGTCGTTGTTGGGCTTCTGAGGACTTCCTGGGGGTCCCTTGGAGGGATCTTTGGGGCCTCTTGGGTCCTCGCGGGGGCGTCTGGGAGGCCTCTTGCCTCTGGGGGGCCTTGGAGGCCTCTCGGAGCCCAGTGTGGGCGTGTGGGGGGCGCTCTTGCGCTGTCTGGCCCCTTCGGAGACTGCCTTGGGGTATTCTTTGGCCGTCGTGCGGGGCTCTTGGGGCATCTCGGCGGCCTCTTTGGGCTGTCTGGGGGCCCTCTTGGGCCGTTTTGGTGCCCTCTTGAGGGCTTCTCGGGCCGTCTCGGGGCCGCTTCGGAGGCCGTTTCGGCCGTCCTGGACCTCGGAGAGTCGAAATCAGCGCTTCTGGAGGTGCTCTTCGGGGTCCTCTGGGGGCCCCCTTGGTCTTTAGGTCCTCTTGGGGCCATCTTGGGCCGTCTTGGGGCCGTCTTGGGCCGTCTTGGGGCCGTCTCGAGCCGTCTTGGAGCCCTGTTGGGCCCCCCGAGGGAGCCAGCGGGCCCAACTCATTGATTCTGTTTAGGTTTTGGTCGGCATTGTGGCCCAGGAGGGGCCGCCTCGCGTCGGTGGAAGTGGCGTGGCCTCGGGGGGGGGGGGGGGGGGTAGGGGGGCGTAATAATGTAACGCAATGCAATATGCAGCAATGGTGCAGTCATTGGATGCTCAGGATGCGTTGCATTAGTGTTATTTGATATCATTTATTCAGATTCAACAGGCCGACGCCACATGCGCCGACCCCGCGTCCTTGCATGGGGCCAGTATGAGGGCTGACGATGCTCGACGTTCGCTGGGCGTACGAGCTTGAAGGCGACCGTGGGCCAGTTCGGCGCTCCCGCTGCGTCTCTACTGGCCTTCGGCCCATCCCGCCGCGGCGCCTGAGTTGCGGCGCGAAACCAATTGGGCGTTCGCGGGGCCAGCCGCCGGCCCAAATCGAAAATGGGGGCGCTTGTCCCGCAAAGCGCCGCGCAAGCTGAAACAGCTTGCGCGCCTAGTGTCGGCGGGCCGCCGCCGGCGCCCCCGCGCCGAGAGGCTCCGCCAAGCGCCCCCCTAGGCTCCTTGGCGGCGTTCTCCGCGGGGGCTCCCGCGAAGACCTCCTCGTCCTCGGTGCTCATTCTGGGCGGGGGCGGGCCCGCCTCGCCCGTCCGCCGACGCTCGTGGCGCGCGCGCTGGGGCGCGAGGTGGCGGAGGTGCATGGCCCGGGCGCGCAAGGCGGACCGCCTCCCATGGGCTGGCTGCCGCGCCCCGCCCATTTCGACGAACTCGACGACCCTTGGTCCCCGGTCCAACCCGCGGATGATTTCGAAAGTGGGGGCCTCGACCGGCTTGGACTCGGAGCTCTTTCAACGACGACGAAGACAGTAATTTCCTTTTCGCGCCGTCGCCCCTTTGACCATGACAACGCAGACGTGGGCCGCGCCGTTGAGCCCGCTAACGCCCGGCCCTCCAACGCCCGGGGGCGTTGGAGCTTGATGGCCACTCACTGCGCCCAAGGCAGCCGACCTTCTGTTGGCCCACCGGGGCTCCGACAGGGGCGGCCGCGAACCTCGGGGCGACGGCCGCCAGGCTATTGGGGCCGCCCAACCCGCAGACCGCAGGTTAGCCGTCGCGCACCACCTCGCGGCGACGAATAGCCAGCAACGCAGAGATCGCGAGACCATTCTCGCCGCCAGTATACAATCTCTCCATCATCGAGCCAGCTAGCTGGCGCACCCCCTCCAGCAAACACACAACAATTAGCCCCGCTGACCGACAAGTTCCACGAACGCAAGAGGCCTGGAGCGGTTTGCAACAGGCCTTCTGGTCTGCAGTCGCTAGGGGGCAGCCTTCCCTGTCATGCTCCAAACCTATTGCGAAGGCCTTACGGCCGGTGCCGCCGACCCTGTTCGCAATGCGCAGCAAGAGGCACGGGCTGTGAGATGGTTTTGGGGAACGGGGAGAAGGACGAGAAGGTGGGGGAGGGAGGTGTCGTATCTGACCCGGGACTTCCCCGGGACTCCCCCGGGACCCCCCCCGGGACCCCCCCTCCCCCCCCCGTCGGGGAAGGGAAAGGGAAGGGGCTTCCCTTCGACTCAATTACGACGTTGCTCAAGGTCGGTACGGGGGGGGGGCGTCGTATCTGACCCGGGACTCCCCCGGGACCCCCCCCGGGACCCCCCCTCCCCCCCCCGTCGGGGAAGGGAAAGGGAAGGGGCTTCCCTTCGACTCAATTACGACGTTGCTCAAGGTCGGTACGGGGGGGGCCGTCGTATCTGACCCGGGACTCCCCCGGGACCCCCCCCGGGACCCCCCCTCCCCCCCCCGTCGGGGAAGGGAAAGGGAAGGGGCTTCCCTTCGACTCAATTACGACGTTGCTCAAGGTCGGTACGGGGGGGCCGTCGTATCTGACCCGGGACTCCCCCGGGACCCCCCCTCCCCGGTACCCGTCGTGACCCGGGACTCCCCCGGGACCCCCCCCGGGACCCCCCCTCCCCCCCCCGTCGGGGAAGGGAAAGGGAAGGGGCTTCCCTTCGAATCAATTACGACGTTGCTGAAGGTCGGTTTGGCTAGCGCGCTTGAGGAGGAGGCCCTGGGAAAGGGCGAGGGGAGCGGGGAGGAGCCCAGGGGAAGAGGGGTACCAGGGAAAGGGAACGACAGAGACGACGATTACAAAGAATGACGGAGATGACGGCTCGAACGGAAAAGCCCCTCACACACGCCGACAGGATCGGCGGATTTCGACGCTCGCTGGGCGGTGCACCGGTGCTAGCTCCCCTCTCGTTTCCCACGGATCACGAGCGCAGTTAGCATCCGTTCCGTCGTTGGCTCCCCCTGGTCCGCTGCGGGGGGCGCCCCAAGGCGTCGTTTTTCAACATCCATGGTCGCCGAGGTGCGCATGCCAAAGCGTCGCCGCCGCTCAGTCTTTTTTCGAGGCGGTGTCTTGTGACCGCGCAAGGGGGGCGGTACTTAAACCCACCACCCCTGTTACATGTGCGGCGCCTGCCGCCAAAACGAGAATGGCCTGCCGCTCGCTCGCAGCCTGGTTGCCAGGGCTGACGCGCGGCCCGAAGTGTTGCCACCTCTCCCTCTATCAGTTTTGTGTTTGTTTGAAATCTCTCTCTCTCTCTTTCTCTCTCTCTTCGTGTGCGTCGTGGTGGTTGTCTTCGTTATCGTTTTGGCCAAGTGTCGTTGTCGCTGTCGTTGTCGTCGTCGTGGTCGTCGCTGTCGCCGTCGATGTCGCCGTCGGCGTCGTTGTCGTCGGAGATTTTTGGGATGCTTCGAACGAATTCGAAGAGTCGCCCAATGTTTCTTTAGTTTTCCCGAGAGTATCTTCGTCGAAGTTGATCGATTTGAAGTTGGCGCGCACATCCCCGATGCCACCCCGCCCGACGGCCCGCTTTGCCCCACGCGAGCCGAGAGCACGCCCTGCGCGATCCAACACCCCCCGCCCCCCCCCCCCACGTAGGACAGTGCCACAACATCCCGCACACTTGCAGGGACTTGCGTTGAGAGGAATTTTGACGGGAAGGTGTATGGCACCATTCCTGATACATCCTGCTCTTCCTGTGCTCCTCCTCCGCCTCTTCCTCCTCCGCGGGACTGGTGATTGGATGGTGCTTGAATCCGTTGCATGTGGGCTTGGCCTTCAGTGCAGCCTGCAGCCCTCACGCTGCTTTGAAGAGATGGATATGCAAGGCTTTATAGGTATCGATACCCAATTGCATCAGTGAAGTGTGTGTCTCCTCCTCATCCCTTCCTCGCCCGTCGTCCCGCCGGGGCCACGGGCAAAATCACCCTGTGGGCGCAAGGTTCGGAGGGGCGACGTGAGCCAGAACGACACCAGGCGGCACACGCCAGATTCCTGGTACTTCAAGCTGGTGAGCCGCATCAGAAAGGAGCGCAGGGTCCGCTCCTCCAGCTGCTGCTGCTGCTGCTGCTGCTGCTCCTCCTGCGCCCCGCCTCCCCTCTGATCCTGCTGCTCCTGATCCTTCTATCGGTCCTCGTTCTCCTCACTCCTGCTGCTGCTCTTCCCCCTCATCCTGCCCCTCGAACCTATTTCTCCTCTCGTCGCCTCTTCTTTCTTTTGTGATGATGATGATGATGATGATGATGATGTTGCTGATGATGATGCTGCTGCTGATGATGATGATGACGATGGTGATTATTGTGATGCTGGTGATGATGAGGATGAGGAGGATGATGATGATGAGGAGGAGGATGCGTAGCTTTTTGGACTCCACGTGCAAGGGTCGCTTGCTGCAGCGGAGGAAAGCCTCTGTCGTTGAATCATGACGCAAGGTTTGCCGTCTTAACCATCGCACAAAGCCTTTGCACTCGACGCTGAGTGGTAGCCCTTCCACGATATTTCCCAACCGTAGTGAGCAGCGCTTTCCTCCGAGGCCTCGAAAAGGTGTTGCACTCGAGTCGTCCCTGCAGCTCGTACACATGACTAGCCTAGAGCAGTCAGAACAATCGAATGCGATCGTGTGATGCTCGAGCGCATCCTGCTTGGCAGCAATCAACCTCGAGTCCTGTGGGCGCCGTCCTGGAGGTTGCCGCTCGACAGAACGCCTTCCACGCAAGCAAACAGCGCACCTCCAAGCTCCCGACCTCTTCTCCCAGCGGTGTTCTGCCGCGACCTCCGCTGCTTCCGCAGGCACGCATTGCTCGTGCTCGGCGTCGGGAAGATCCACTCCTGACCAAACAAATGCAGCAGGTTGGCCACGAGCTGACCCACAGCTTCGATAGAGGTTCCGCCACGCGCCGACGTCGGCTTGGTGATCGAGTCGATCCCAGCCTCATCGACATCTCGACGGGCGGCGGCCTTCTCGCATGCGGCAGCAGAGGCGCCCTGTACATGCCACCTACGTAAGAGAGGCACCAGCGTACATCCGCTTGCCCGGAAGCCGCTCTCTGCGACGCCAACATGCAAGTTCGACCGTGCTGCTGCAATCAGAGAAAACAAAAGCGACCAAAGCAAGCGCCAGAACATTCGCCAACGCAGGTGAGTCTACTACAGTCCGCTCCTTGTGGGGTCTGGAGATACGCCCCCTTTTTTGTGATAAAGAAACATAGCATCCAACCACACTATCATCACGATAGTCGACCGTGATGCCGCTGCTTACGGCACGGGACAGCTCACAAGCAATGTGTGTCCGTGACGTGATCCATCTGTGCAGGCCTCCCGCAAGAGGCCTTCCGTTGAGAGGGTCGAGGTCTTCCTTGAGCCACAGCAGACGGGCCATCTTCCGCTTCCGTGAGAGGACTCGGGTAGACGTCGGCGGGATGGCGAACCACTCCCTTAAAAAACAGCGCACGGATACGTCCATCCTTCCCGGCTCCCTCCCCCCTTGGCCTGCGATTTCCCCCTCCACGCCGACACGGCTTCACTTTTCCATTCCGGGCTGCTCTGCCATCTTGGGCGGAGTCCCGCGGCGCAGCGCCTCCGCCCCAGCCGCGATGGCCCACAGCCTTGTACGCGGTGCTGGCGCACGGCGTGGGGTGGCCGTCGCCCTGCGTGGAAGAACTCGCATTTTTCGGGCGCACGCGGCCGGGGCGAAGAGCCGCTCGAGCGATCCGAGGTAGAATTAGGTCGGGCGTGCCCTCCTAGAGGCTGATTTTGGACGAAATACTCAAAAATAGTGAAGCACATTCGAAAAATCGTCCCCAAACTATTCTTCGACTATGTTTGCATGTTCCTCCTGTAGAGGGACACGCCCAACTTTCGCCACCCACCAAACCACCCCAACCCAACCCGAAGGCCTCATTTTGCCTTCCATTTCAAGTGGGGGGGGGGGCGGGAACATTGAAAAACACACACACACACACGGAACCCGTACGTATCCCCCCAACTCGAAATTCAGGTCTTCGGGTTGGGTTGGGTTGGTCTGGTAGGTTCGGGCCGGACGAAAAGGGGGGATTGGGAAAGGGGGGGTTGCGAAATCTGCCGCATGCAGCTGGTTTCGGCCCCACCGAGGGGCCCATTCCTCGATACATAGCCGCCTCCGGCGCCGGGAGGCGCCAGGAAAATCAGCTGCGTGAGCTGATTCTCAAGCCCCCCCTCTGCTATCCCCCCCTTTCGCCCGGCCCGATAGGTAGTCAGACTCAAAGGTCGCGATAGAGCCACGGGAGCCGATCACTCCATGCGAGTGGCGGCGAGAGCAGGGGCGCTCGGGCCTCGTGCGGCAGGGCGACGGCGGGCATTGTGCGGCAGCAGGGGCCCGGGGGTGTGTGCAGGGGCAGCCCGGGCCGCGCGCCAGGGGCTTCGGCGCGCGGGGGGGGCAAGCAGCGGACGGGGGGGCCGATAGGAAGACCTGTTCCAGCAGGGGATCGCCTACAGGATTGATATTCGGGTATAGCCAGGACTCCAGGAAAGGGGACCCGGTTAGTAGTAGGGCCCCAGAGCACCTAAATTGGCCAGAATCTCTGGGCCAGGTTTGCCGTAGCTGGTGTTTCTTCGGGTGACGGCAGTTCCGGTCAGTGGAACGGGGCGGGGGGGGGCGTCCCCCAGTACATATCAGTAAACCAGGTCCCACTAAGTCCAGTTCTGCCAACGCCCGATGATTTGCCCCCAATTTGGTTTTCCCATCGAATCTACGACGTATGCGTACATTTGTCGTACATCCACTGAGACTTCTAAGCATTTATCCGTCGGTTCGACGAGAGGAACCTAAGTTTGGAATACATCAATTCTGTAGTCGGTTCCCTATTCGACCTGTGCCGCAACCGCGGCAGGCATCGGGCGGCCGCCGAGGCGAGGCTTGAGCGGGCGGCGGGCGTCGCGCCGCCGCGGCGGTGCGCAGTGGGTGAGGCGGCAGTGGCTGCGCCGCAGCGGGGTGACATTCAAGGGAGGGAAAGCCACCCGGACCGGACAATTGGCATTTACTAAACGGCCCTGACTAAATAGCCCTGCCCTTTTGATTCCTTCTTTGGTTCCTTTACTAAACGGCTTCGCGTGTCGGGGTGGTTATTATCGGGGTGGATTTTCTGCCCTCTAGCTATAGTGAGGCAGAGCATGACGTCCGCGTGCAGAGCAGTATCGCAGGCCAAGAGGTTCACACCAACACCAATATCGGCGGTGTTCCTCCACCATGGGAAGAGGATCCCGATCTTAGTGATGGTGGTAATATTCTGGCTTCAAGGTGACCGAAATACGACCACCAACACCAAAATCAATGATCATCTTCCCCCTGTGGATGCAACCCCCTGCGTTGGTGTTGGTGCCCATTGCCAGGCCTTTAACAATGCGATGGCGGGGAGGCGAGCCGATGAGGCCCAGTGGAGGGCGGGAGAGCCCGAGGGAGCAGATCGAGCCGCCTGCGGAAGCTGTGCGCGCCGAGCCAGAAGTACACACGCGAATAGCTCAGCGAATGACTTCCCCCCTCTCTTCTGCCCTCCAGCCTCTCTCCTATCTCCTCTCTCCTCCTCTCTCTCCCTCCCACAGTCCCGCCTCCTCCTCCTCTTCCTTCGCGTCGCCCCCCTCGTTCCTCTGCTCTCCCCCGCCTTTTCGTCTCCTCCACCTTGTCGTCGTCGTCATCGTCGTCGTCGTCGCCGCCGCCGCCGCCTCCGCCGCCGTCGTCGTCGTCGTCGCCGCCGTCGTCGTCGTCGTCGTCGTCGTCGTCGTCGTCGTCGTTGTCGTCGTCATCGTCGTCGTCGACCTCGTCCTCCCTCCATCCCTCTACTCCCACTCCTCCCCTCCTTCCTTCATACCTCCATCCCTTCATCCTCCTTCCTCCCTCGGCGGGGAGCACGCCCGGGGACGCACCTCTGCCGGACCGCACCCTTTGGGCCGTTGTGGCGGCGAGCACAGGGAGGCTCGGGAGCACATGATATGCGGTGGTGCCGCTGCTGGCCCCCCCAGACGCAGTGCCCTCGACCACATCCTCCCAGAGGGTATCTGGCGTATTGTGACGCCACGTGCGCGGCAGTGCGGCCTCCTCGCCTCCTCGGGGAGGGCACGCGGCTGCTCGACCCTCAGACGGCGCTCGATAGCCCGCCGTAGCCTCGTCCGCGGCCGCCCCCCGTGAACGGCGATGGTCCTCGTTCTGCTCGCGGCGAGCGTTTTTTCGACGACTCTGTTCAGTTGTGCTGGGCCCAGGCGCGGGCTGGCCCAAGACCCCCCAAGGTGAAGCTGCTGCCCTCCTCGTCCACCTCGTTATCGCGGCGGAACGCTCCACGCATGCTTGCGTCGACAGCCAGGCTGTGATCGACGGCTCCCAGGGGTATCTTGCGGGACGGCCCTGCGCAAGGGGGGGGTGCGCGCTGACCTCGGGCGCCAGGTTTACGCCTGTGCCCAAAAACAGTCTAGGGATTTTTTCCGCATCCAACAACTCGCTGGCCACTTCAGCCAGGCTGGCATCGCCGCCAGGCTCGTCGCTGTCATGGCTGAGTGCTCCAACCGTCAGGCGAACGAGTTGGCCGTTCAGGCAACTGCTCAACGCAACGTGTCCCCCCCTGCCGTTGTGGCCGATGCCAGTCTCCAGCAGATATGGGCCGTCGGTTTGCACTGAACTGCGGCCACCGTCTTTCCTCCGTCGCTGAGCTGGCCGCTGTGTCCCCCGCCCCACCCTGGATTCGCGCAGAAGCTGGCGGACGGGGTCGCGCCGCAGCTGCATTAGGCTGCCGCGCTCGTTGAGCTCGCGCAGCTCGAAGCCGCCTTCAGGTCGGCCTCGGTGGCAACGGCCCCCAGCGGAGGCATGCCCGGCGGCTTGCCCGACGACGGGGACGACGACGACGACGACTTCGGCCACAGGGGGTGCCTCCAACCACTCTGCTTGGACACGGCCCGTGGCCTCGTTCGCGATCTAGCGGCGGCAGGCCGGCCTGCTGCTCCCCGCCCCATCAGAGCGTCATTGCCTCGATCACGAGCCAGTGGACTCGCAGAGCGGGGAGCACTTGAAGGCGGCGACCAACTCTGCCCCGACTCCGTCGTCGACGTGTTTGGCCTCGGTGTGGGGCTCGGGCTGTCCTTCTCCTCCTTCTCTTTCTCCTACTTACGTCTTTCTCCTCCTCCTCGTGCTCCTCCTCCTCCTCCTCCTCCTCCTCCTCCTACTTCTCTTCCTCCTCCCCCTCCTCCTCCTCCCTCCTTTTGCCCGCCCATCTCCCCATTCTTCCTCTTGCCCTTTCACTGGGGACGGACGCGTCGGGAGAGTCAGGCTCGAGGCTCCGACGCCTTGTTTTTTCTTGTGCCGTCGGCCCCTGCAGCTCTCGACCCCTCCCCGGGGGACCAGTCTTCTGTCCTGGGGCCATTCTGCCGCTGCTCTGGAGCCTTTGAACTGAGCCTGACAGGTTCCAAGCCGAGGCAAGCGCTGGCCTCCTTCAGGCAGGCCTAGGACCCAGACCCCCTCGGATCACGAACAAAAACACCGCGGATGTGTTTTTGCCGTTATCGGCTTCAATATGGGCCCTCGCCGGGCTCTTGGGCCAACGAAAGACGATTCATAATGAAAAGCCAGTCCCGGGGAAGCGGTCTAGACCTGAGACGCCGTCGCAATCCTCACCATCAACCATAATGTACGTTGAGGTTTCTCTCGGTAGCGACCATGCTGTCTACGTCGATAAATGTTGGGATCAGTTTTGAACGCGCCTCGCTTTCTTCGTGTGCGACACGGAAGACCTCGATGGCTTGTGCGTGCGTTATGAACCACCTCGTTGCTTGCTCGTTTGCGTCATTCAAGACCTTGACTGTGCTTGTTGCTCGCCATGAAACACGTCGTTGTCTCGTCCTTAATAGAAATCATTTGATTGCATTTTGGTGGCGCCATGAATCACCTCGATGTTTTCGCGTGCGGTCTGCAATACTTCGATGCACATTGCGCGCGCTACAGAAGACCTCTATGATTTGTTTTTCCCCCTGGAAGACCTCGATCGTTTCCTTGGCGTCCCCCGAGAAGTGGACCGATCACCATGAATTGGCTGGGCGGCGGGCGACCGTCCCGAGAAGTGGCGGGCGCCGGTCTCAGAACTGGCAGTGCGACTGGCGCCCAGCGCGAAAGACCTCGATGGTTCTTGGTGTGCGCGGTGCAAGTCTTCGACGTGTTCCATGCGCGGTCTTGCGGGTGACCGCTTCGGCCGCTAGGCCCTGGGCGGCTGCGCCGCACGCCCTGGACCCTAGGCCCTAGACTCTGGGCGGCTCGGCCCTGGGCCCCTGGGACCTTGGGCTTAGGGCCCGGGGCCGAGGCTGCCGCTTCGGCCAGGACCTGCGCTAGTGGCCCCGACGGGCCTCGAACTAGCGAGACCCTGGGGTCCCGTGGGAGCGCGACCCCCGGAGGAGGAGGAGCAGGAGGAGCAGGAGAAGGATTTCCCTACGTCCTTAGCAGCTTGGGTCCGCCGTGTTCGAAAAGGAGCCGTCCCCCGATGTAGCTCCCGACGGCGACGCCGTCCCCCCTGCGCCCTCTGCGGCAGCGGCCGTTCGGTGGCGTCGGCTGCTCTTTACGTCGCCCAGCCGAGACAGAGACGGCGCCCTCGCTCTGCGTTTCTGTCGCGCGCTGGCGCGTCGGCGCGGCGCCCTGGGGCCAGGCCTGGGGCCTAGGGCCTGGGGCTCGGGGCCGAGTGTGGGCCTCGGCCCTGGGCTGTGGCTCAGATTAGGCCCCGGCTTTAGGGCCCGGGCCAGGGCTCCTGGCCGCCACTTGCTGGCGGCCAGTGGTTAGCGTTGGGCTTGCAGCTTCGGGCAAAGGGTCAGCATTTTGCGCCGTGGTAAATGTCGAGGCCCAATTCACACGCCGAAGTCAATACCGAGGTCAAAAGTGAATGCCGATTAGAACGCCGAGGTGGCTACCGAGGTCAACATTGAGGCCCGACCAGGACACCGAGGACAACGTTGAGACCCGACTAAAACGCCGAGGTGAATACCGATGTCAAAAAAGAGGTCCGATAGAACCGCCGACGTGTGTGCCGAGGTCGCAACGGAGGCCTGACTCAAATGCCAAGGACAAGCTTGAGGTCCGACGAGGTCCGACTAAAACGCTTAGGTGAGTGCCGAGGTCAAAATTGAGGTCAACATTAAAGTCAGCATTGAGACAAACGCGATCGATTGGTGTCATGTGTGATGCAAGCCAAGAAAAGCGACGCCACAATTGAGGTCGAAGTCGAGCTCCGACTGAAACGCCGAGGCGAATGCCGAGGTCAAGACCGAGGTCAGCATCTTGAGCCCAGGCAAGTACCGAGGTCAGAATCGATGCCCAATCAAAACGCCGAGGTGGAAACGCCGAGGTGAATGCCGAGATCAAGACTGAGGTCAGCATTTTGAGCCCAGGCAAATGCCGAGGTCAACATTGATGCCCGATCAAAACGCCGAGGCGAAAACGCCGAGGCGAAAACGCCGAGGTGAATTCCGGGGCCAAAGCTCATGCCAAAATGGCGATCGAGCTTGAGGCCATTGTTGGGGTGCACCGTGCGGGGCAGCCAGGTTTGCGCGGCGCGCCCGAGGTACCCCTCCGCCCCCCCCAATCTCAGGAGGGGAAAAACACACAGACACAATTAGTCGTCGATTCCAACGAAAATATGGGAAAAGATGGGTGGTGGGGGAAAAGACAAAGCTCAGAAAATATAGGAAAATATGGTGAATCCGGTTATTTGTGTCTATTTATTTGTGTGTCCCAGGGCCCCTCAGTTTCCGTGCGCGGCGCGCTTGGGGCCGCCCCCCCCTGGAAACCGCACTGTCCGCCTGAGATCTTCCCGATAGATGTATGAGACTCCTGGACACCTGGAATGACACTTCGAAGGGCCCAGAGGATCCCACAGGGTTCCAAAAGAATTCCTACAGGCTGCCCTGAAGCTTCTGCAGTTCTCGCTGGCCCCTGGAGGGTTCTTCGCGGATTTCTGAGGCCTGAGGACTCCCACAGGGAACCCACTCGAATCCCTCGGGAATCCTTTCAAATTCTTGAACCCGTAGGACTTTAGCAGACAACTTCCAGGAACCCATCCGGAGCCCTTCAAGAATCCATCAGGAATCCACTAGCAATAATGTCTTGAGAACCCTCACTAACGCCAGGGTGTCTTTTTCTTGGTATATATATATTTATATATATAGGTATTACAAGTTTTTAACGCACCCCCGCGAATTTCATATGACCCCCACGTGAAGCCCCCAGGAGTCTACAGGAATCCCCCCCCGCCCCAAGGAATCTGTTAGGAATCTATCAATGATCCACCACGCTCTGTAGGAATCCCAGAATCCTTGTGGAATTTCTCCTGGACCCTGATGAATGTAGTTTTTCCACCTCCCCCGCTTTTCCCCCCTCGTTGTATGACGTGCTTGTGGCAGCGTTCTCTTGTGTCTCCTCGCCGAACAAATGTGATGCACAAAGGTCTACCCACCATGCCCGAAATGCATCGAGGCCATTGCGTACGCCCCCCAAATTCATGGAGGCCCTGCGCACTGTTCCGGACAAACGGTCGAGGCTGTTGTATGTACCCGGCGCAAGACAATCGAGACCCCGCGCTTTGCCCCCGAAGTATATCGAGGCTGTTGCACACACAAAACACAATGGAGGCCCTGCTCGCTGCGTCGAGGTTGTTGCATGTATGCCCAGAAACCATCGAGGACCCGCGCAGTATCAAATACATGCAGCGATCTTGTTGTGTGAAACAACAAGCACCATCGATGGGTCACATGTCGCGCGCAGGAATGAGCGAGGTAATCCTGTACATAATCAGCAGTTTCATGTAGCGAGAGAAGCCTCTACTCTTGAATTGCTTGTGGCAAAATGTATATGAAGGTAACCGATAGCATTTCAGGTCTAGGCCTCTGGGGGTCCACGTTGTGAACAAATGAAAAATCACGATGGATCGTTCCAGAGCGTTCCAGAACGCTGTCAGAACGTTCTGGAGCTCTCTGATACGGCCGTGGCGCCCGATGTCGACGTTGTCCTCGTACTGCCTTCGCCTGGCACCTCGATATCCCCGCGACGCCTGAGCTCTGGGGGGCGGCAGCGGGGCAGCGGGGCAGCGGGGTGGCGGGGCGGCGAGACGATGCCCGACGCGGACGTGCACGTCTTCAGCTCCCTCGAGGGCAAGCACGAGGATTCAGAGTTCGACGAGTACAGGCTCGCCGCCAGTCCTGCCTGCGCTGCTGGTGCCCATTCACCTCTCTCTGTCCCCCTGCTCCTCGTCGTCCTCATTTTCCTCCGATGCTGCTGATGCACCCCCGCTCCACATTTCCCTTTCATCCTCCTCCTGCTCCTCGTCGTCGTCGTCGTCCTCCTCCTGCACTGCCTGTGCTGCTGTTGCCTCCCTTCTCCCTCTCCCTCTTCCGTTCACGTTCCCTCTCCTTCTCCCTCTCCGTCTCCCGCTCCCTCTCCCGCTCGTCGTCGTCCTCCTCCTCCTCCTCCTCCTCTTCCACCTTCTTTTCCTCTTCTGCTGCTCCTCCTCCTCCTCCTCCTCCTCCTCTTTCCTCATCCTCCTCCTCCTCCTCCCTCCCCTTCCCTCCTCTTCCCTCCCCTCCCTCACTCCCTCCCTCCCTTCCATCCCCCCCTTCCTCCTCCCTCCTCCACTCCTCTCCTCCTCCTCCTCCTCCTCCTCCTCCTCCTCCTCCTCCTCCTCCCTCCTCCGTCCCTCCCTCCCTCCTCCCTCCCTCTTCCCTCCCTCTCTCCCTGCCTCCCTCCACTTCCCCCTACCCCGCCTCCCTATCCTCCTCCTCCTCCTCCTCCTCCTCCTCCTCCTCCTCCTCCTCCTCCTCCTCCTCCTCCTCCCCGCAGCCGCGGACGTCTGGCAGGAAGCGCGGAATGACCGTCCACCTCGACGAGACGGACATCGCGAAGCCTTGGGCGCAGCTCGCCCGCGCCGACGTGCTGGTCGGCGCCCAGGGGGCCCCTCCGCCCTCCGCCCTCGCTCCAGGGGGCCTGCCTGCCTGCCTGCCTGCCTGCCTCCCCGGTCACCCCTCGTCATCGTCAGAACTCGAGGGAGGTCCCGGGATCCCGCCGAGGCCCATCTTGGTCATCTGGGGCCATTTTGGGCCACTTTGGGCCTTCCTGGGCCATCTTGTGCGCTCTGACTGCCTGGGCCTGCCCCCTTCCCTCCCAGGCACAGGGGAGGGGGTAAGGGGGAGGGGTCGAGGCACCCCCCAGATAGCAAGCCATCTAGCTCCCTTCCACCCGCCTTCCCAACACAGAAGTAACACCCGAGCCTCAGCATGTGCAGCGGTTGTCTTTGGATGGGCAGCTACTGGGAACCGAAACCGACCCCATGTGCGCGACGCTGGGGCGAGGTGCGCCACGCGTGCCAGGCGCGCCACGCCCGCCAGGCACCCCTGAGGCCCGAGCGTGCCGGGCACGCCTGGTGCGCCAGATGCGCCACGTGCTCCGCGTGTGCCAGGTGTGCCGCATACTCTAGCCGCGCCATGTGCGCCACGTTCGGGGCACGTTCAGAGTGTGCCAGGTGCGCCTGCGCACGTACGTGACAGCACACGTCGGGAAACATGTCGGCCCCCACCTTCTTCGTCGAAAAGCAATGCCCATCATTGTGTCTGGTGAGCCTGCGCACAGCAGGCCATACGCCACCACCCCCGCCGTCCCTGTCAAAAGCCACTCGACAGTGATCGCGGGGTGGGTATCTTTTTGTCAGGGGTGGTAACCCTGCGCAGAGCAGGCAATAGGCTGACACCCCGCCGTTCCTTTCAAAAACAATACGAAGTGCTCGCGGGCCTCACGAACATGACGCAAGACTTTGCCCCAAAGTATATTTTGTGTTGTTCTTTGAGGGATGCTGGGGGAGGGCCTCATCGGGTCGGCCGCGCATGCTGCAAATGTGGAGGCATAGTGCGTTTTGCATTGTTTTTTGACAGAGATGGTGGGTGGGGGGCCCGCATGATTGCTGGTTGGCCGCCGGTCGCCTGGGGGAGGGGGTGTATAGCAACAGGGGGCAGTGATTAACCCCTCCCCCGAGCAGGGGAAGAAGGGAGCTTCGGCAGAGAGAAGACAAGGTTTATTAAACCACCTACGCCCAGAGGGCTGGTAGGAGTCGAGGGAGGTCGCGGGATCTTCTCGATTGCGATCTTGATCTTGGTCATGGTCCATGGCTGCCGTTGCCGATTCGCGAGGATGGTCCACGAGTTTACGCTGACCCGCGTTCAGTCAGTCTTTGTCATGGTCCCGTCTTCGTCCCCTCCAAGAGCCACCCTGACTTCGGATACACCATACTTTGGGCGATTTCGCAAGTAGGGCGGAGCTTTCTGTCCTACTTTTCAAGCTTCTTCGATGTTGATTTCCGCCCTCATTTGCCGTCGCTTTTTCCGCCTCCCTTTGCCGAGGATGAAATTTCCCGCCCTTCTTTTATGCATCTTGTGGGATGCATTGCGGACACAATTCTAGGCCGGAAAATCAGACAAGGCACAGCGGATCCGAAACCAGGGCACCCATCCCTGCCTCGACCGGGACAGGGCAATGTAGATCTCCCTTGGAGCTGGCTGGGAGGCTGAGGTGGCCCACCACTGGTTCCGCCCAGCAGACAAGGAGGAGAAGGGGGCTCCTTTTCGCCACGGCTGGGCGCGGCTCGGGAAACTGGTCAGTTTCGACCCCAGGAGGGGTCGGGGGACCGATTTTGAGCGGACCTGCCCTCGCTACCCCGTCTTGAGATTTTCTTGGGGCCCAGCCAGCGCAGACCCCCTAGCCTTAAGTCGGGCGTGTCCCTCTACAGGAGGGATACTCAAAAACAGTAAGAAATAGTCAGGGGACGATTTTTTGATTACTTTTTGAATATTTTAGGGGCATTTTTTTAAGTTTTCGCCCAAAATCCCCCTGTAGGGGACACGCCCGACTGAACCCTAGCCGCTTCCAAGTCATAGTCTTTCCCACCCCGACCGGGACGGGGCAATGTAGCTCTCCCAGCGTATCCCCGCTAGGTGGGGATGTGTGCTTCGAAGCCCAAAACGAACGACATTCATCTCCACCTGGGGGGTGTAGGTCAGCCAGCGGGGCCAAGGTCTCCCCAGAGGGGGTGGGGACCGATATTGCGGAGAGCCTCTGCCTTCCCCCTGCCCCCGCTTCCTGTCCTTGTCGCCAGCACTGCCGAAACCGGTGCCTTTTTTATGTGGGTGGACGAGGGTGGGGTATGCCAGGGGTGACGAGATTGTAGGAGGTGGGTGTCGGGAGTGAGGGAGTGGAGGGGATTGACGGCGGGTGGGGTGGATGGGGCAGCAGTCGGTACGCAGACAGCGCACGGATCGTGAAGGGGGCAGGATTGAGGGGAAGAGGGAATAAAGAGGAGGGGAAGGATGAGGAAAAAGTGGGGAGGGGGGGAGGATGTCCGTCCGTGCGAAGCTTCGGTGCTCGACACGGACCACCCCGGAGCAACCGTCGCTGGACCGGAGCGCCGAACAAGGTTGCGCCGGTGCTCGCGCACGCGCCGCCTGGGACCCCCAGACCAGGGCGAGCGCGAGGACGGCGAAATGGCGCACCTCGTGGCTCGCCGCCGCGCAGCGCTGGGTGCAGCCCCGCGAGAGCCAGGAGCGCCCAGTCGTGGCGCCAGCCGCCAGCCGCCAGCCGCCAGCCGTCGCGTCCGCCGCGCAACCAGCGCGCTGGTTACTGCTGCGGCGGCTTCGCGCTCCGTGGAGCAGCGAGTCGCAAAAAGGAGAGGGGGATGATGATGATGATGATGATGATGATGATGATGATGATGATGATGATGATGATGATGATGATGATGATGATGATGATGATGATGATGATGATGAT